TAATATATTTACTGAGAAAAATGGTGACGTGTTCAATACTTATTTTACCCGCTGTATATAATTATGTTAGAAAAAAACTAGAGGAAATTCTGAAAACCTTGCATTTTGCTTGTCTTATCAGATTTCTGTGAACTCACTCTGGATCCAAACACGGCTCACAAGTTCCTCAAGCTGTCTGAAAACAACAAAAAGGTGACGGACCTGAGGAAGGAGCACCCGTACCCGGATCACCCGGACAGATTTGATTACTGGCCTCAGGTCCTGTGTGAACAAGGGCTGGCTGGTCGCTGTTACTGGGAGGTGGAATGGGTCGGAAAGGTTTACGTTGCGGTGAGCTACAGGGAAATCGGGAGGAACGGAGATGGCGACGGATCCAAGTTTGGAGGGAACGAGCATTCGTGGTGTCTGGCCTGCACCGATAAGGGATATAACGTCTGGCACAACAACAGCGGGACGCTCGTCCCTCTTCCTGCCTCCTGCTCCATCTCGAGCAGAGTGGGAATCTATGTGGACTGTCCTGCTGGTGTTCTGTCCTTCTACAGAGTCTGCTCTGACTCTCTGAACCATCTCCACACCTTCAACACCACATTCACTCAAACTCTGTATCCTGGGTTTGGTTATGGAGTTAAATATAATTCTTCTGCATTTTTGTGTCAGCTCTGAACCACAATCACAGCCAGAAAAATGTCTGATTGACATCACTCCTGAACTGATCATCAAACTATATGAACTTTATGAATGGGAAGACCCAGCTGCAGTGGTGGGCACAGCTAATTAAAAAGGTACCTTCCCTATCCACTAATCTGCTAAACGAGAATCAAAACACTGCTAATTTTAACCCGCTAAACGGCATGCGTCAGGTGTTTCTTCTTAACCCTTTCGTGCATGAATTATGATAAACTCAGTCAGGATTTTTTTACTAAGTGTTTTTATACATCCTTGGGGATGTAAAACAAGGTTTGAAAAAAATTTTCTTCTATCTTTTTTTAAAAGATATAATTATCTGTACACTCAAGTGTACTTCATGCATTTTGTACTGTTAAAAACATAAATGTAATGACATGGTAATTATATAGGTATAGTTATATTTAGTTATACAGTTGTAATATGGTATTCTGTTGGAATGGTGGTTCCTCCAGTCCTCTGTAGTCCTCTCTATTTGAGCTCTATTGATAAACGTAAAAGTTAACATAAACATAAAATTATGTTTTCACTAGGTGCTTTTATTCTTCTATAGGGATGTAAAACAAGGTTAAAAATAAAGATATATTCTCTCTGAACTGAGGAGGATAGTGTGACCCAAGTCACAGTCTGAACTAGGGCTGCACAATATATGGAAAATGTATCGTCATCATAATAACTGCTTGTGCAATATGCATATTGCAACAAATGCATAAACTGTTTACATTTATGAGTTTTGTCACTCAGACAGAAGCTTGAAGTATTTCACCAATCAAATGGAGCCCTTCATATATTACTCTTCATGTTTTTAAAAATTCATACCAGAATGAAAATGATTAGTTTTGTTTCTTTGTTTGTTTTTTTTTGCTCAGAACCCAGAGCAGAAAACATCAACACTTCTTATGTATTTGTTCATTTATCACAAGTCATATCGTCATCGCAATATTAAGCACTGTTATCACACATCACAGGTTTTCCTGATATCGTGCAGCCCTACTCTGAACTGTAGATCCTGATAGAATCTTGACTGTAACTGTTTTCTATCAGAATGTATGCTTGTTAAGTCTCTGAACTGAGCATGTTCTCTCATAGCAATCTCTCTTATAGCATGTATAATATATACTGTATATATTGGCCAGACAATGTATAAAAATTTATACAGCGGGTAAAATAAGTATTGAACACGTCACCATTTTTCTCAGTAAATATATTACTAGAGGTGCTAATGACATGAAATGTTCACCAGATGTTGGTAACAACCCAAGTGATCCATACATACAAAGAAATCAAACCATACATGTCCAGAAATGAAGTTATTTGTTATAATGTAGAATGGCACAGGGAAAGTA